AGTTCAATGTCTCTTTAACATGCAGATTCTATTAGAGTTTTTTTATGAAGTTCATTGTATATTTCTCTTTTCTCAATTCTTTGTTATTTACTGATCCCAGCACAACTGGCATAAATTATTCCAATACAGGGGGAAGACTGTGTAATAGCAATCAGCCAATCAGGTTAAAGAACCAGCACAAGACTTCATTGCTATTGCTGGAGCCTCCTTGACCTTTCCCTCCCCTTCAGCACAGGTGAGCATCACCCCCCAGCAGCCTGCCTCACAAGGCACCTGTCTTGTTCTCCTTAATTGGGATAACATGTGCAAGTGGTTAGCACTCTGTCTGGCACGACATAGCTGATAAAGACTGGTGTGTGCCTGCCTTCACTTTTTCTTCTTCTCTATCCCTGGGCCTTGTTAATTCCCTCACTCTCAAGTCTAAATTTTCCCATTTCCAAACCCATGCTTCTTGGCCAAGGGCAGCCTTAACACTGCAGTGAATAGGAGAACATCCACATTTGGGATTTGTTCTTTTAGGAAAAGGGAGAAAATGAAAACTTTCCCTCTCCAGTCCCAAATTAATTTCTCCAAGCCCTCTCATGGTGTCTGAAGTTATTCCACTGGAGAAGACTCCCTTTTTTGCTTGAATTCTTTCGCTTGGAGTTGCTTATTAAAATGCAAATGGCCCTGAGAAGAGTATTATCAGTTACCACCACCTGACCTGCAATGAGGGATACAGCAGGAACGCCCTGTGGGGAGAGGCCCACAGGAAACACTAACCAGGTGGAGTGATTTCACAGGTAAGGGAATGGGGCTTAGGACAGAGAAGACACGTTAACGAAGATAACCCTCACAATTTTGTCAATTGCCCCTTATCTTTAGATGACAGTGCTTTAACCAACTGCAAATACCTTTTCAATCTTAGCTGCACTTTGAGACTGGGGGCCCTGGGTTACACCACTTTGTGGAAGACAGACACGGCACTGACTCTGGCAAGAGCACAGCATATGCTCAGTGAATGCGGGCATTTCAGTCCCAGTCTCCCCAGGCTGTCTTTTCTAAACATTGGTGGACTGTTCTTGAATATACGTTTAAGGATGCCCACTCTTCCAACCAGAGGGTGGAGTTGTGACCGACTCTGAGGCTAGAAAGGAAAGATGAGAGTCAACCGAGAAAGGCCTATCTCATCTTTCCTATCTCATATTTTTAACAGGTAATTTGTGATGGATTTATTGCTCCAATTCCATCTCATGTCCATGAAAGTTTCCTTTCCTGTGACTCAAATATTTTCTTGCCTTTCTTTCAAGTTTAAAGTATCATAGTTATTATGGACAGGAGTATCTTCTCTTTTTTCAGATCCTCCATACTGCTTTTATGTTTATGTATGAAAATAAAAAATAGTAACTAAGACTGACAATTTATTGGAAAGAACTTTGGTATCTCCCAATCAAATCCACTACTTTATAGATGAGTTCGCTAAAATCCAGAGATATGACTACAAACTATGAAGACATCTGATAATAAGCTGAGGGGCCTAGGACCTAAGTTTCAATACTTAACAAAATGACTACTTAACACAAAAAAAACAATGAAATTTGTAAAATATTTCCAAAAAACACTGCATTCCTGCTCTTTGCCAGAAGACTTAACATCACCAGTTACAATAGGAAATTTTAAACTGGCAGTGTCATAAGCATTTAATCTAAGAAGTTAGGGTAAATGCCATTATTTTAAAAAAAATTACGGACATTTTGAAATAATCACAGGTTTTATATTACTGCATACTTTAAATTTTCTAGTTTACTTTAATAATTCTCTGACATCTAAGTACAGCATAAAATGTTTTAAAATATAAGATAATTCACAATTATAAAACCATAGAATTACAGCTGGAAGAAATAAGAACAGTGATATATTGGTAAATATTTAACAACTTACAGGAGATAGCACACCTGATTTGCAGCGCTTTCCTGTTTCTATAGTGCAAATACTTTCCCCAACTTCAAGTTACTAACATGAAGTCAGGGATCACAGAATGGGAAAGATGAGCATATGACTGGCTCTCATGAGCTCACCCAAGTTGATTCCAGCGCATGTTGGATAGAAGAGACCAGATAGTGAAGCCTCTTTATTCCTGAACCTTTTCCAGAGAACTAGCCATTTCTTTATAACCCACTCTACCCCAAACACATGACATAACACCTATACATTATTATGTTTCTATGCTTACCTACCAACTCTATTATAGTGGCTTTTGATCTTTAATGGATATAAAACACATTTTGCCTCATGACCCACCCACCCAGTGTGCACATTCACAGACACATAAAAACAAAAGTCTCACAAGAAACACACTCTATTAAGAGCAATACACTAAACATTTCTATTCTCTTCCATTTCATTTTTGAAAATTCTGATCTTGATCCCTTAAATTGGACTCGGATCCCACTATTTGGTTAGGGCCCTCAAAATTGGAAATCAGTGCCAAACAGCCTCTAAACTCATTGATGATAGGATTATACAACATTTGTCTGTATCTGTCCCTATGTCTGGTAGTTATTATTGAGGCCCCAAAAGGTAACTGCCCAAAGACGCACCTGCCGCCACTGATAAAAGAGGCACTCAAGGCAAGAGGTAATTTATTACACAGAATTGGGATATTCATGGCTCAACACTGAAAGCGGAAGAATCTCCCAAGAGAGCCACCCCTTCAACAGAAATTGATAGAAAACTTTTGTTAAAACTTGTCCTGACCCCATCAGTGATAAAGGTTTGTTCCTTTGCCCACTGTAGCCCTCTGGCCAACCCTGCCTGTTCAGCTAGTATGAGTAGGCAAATCTGAGGGATCACCATGCCCCTATTGAAAAGGGAATTCCCTTTTGATTCCCTGTTGAAAAGATATGCATCTTTTTCACAAAACATGTTCAATTCTCTAAGAAGAGAACTATATAAATGAATATTAAACATATAGAATACACATACTTCTATATATAATACCAGCTTTCTAATAAACAGAAACCAAAGACTTAGTTGCAGAAAATACTCAGGAAAATAAACTAAATCCACAGCCTTTTCTCATCAGTGTGCTTACGTACCACATGCTTTTTTATAGGTGCTATTAAATGTACACTATAGTTTCAAGACAATCCAGATAAGCATCTTCACTAAAATACACAACACCATTAATCATCTCCATGACAGTGCTCCAATTTAACATCTTGGGGATTTCCTCCCCTTCTTCATCATTTATTTGCCAATATTTCCTTGTTATGAATATCCCCCCAGTGACTTTCCCTAGCAGTCACAGCTGTGCTGCCTATTCTGTCTACCTCGACTACAAATAACACCATTTTTTTTTTTTTTAAAAAAACGCAAGCCCTGAAGATGTTACCTCCAGTTAGAACGGAAGGCTTGCTGCGGGCTGAAATCCAGGTGACCTCATCCACGCTCCCAACTTCCAACCCTCCGCCTCTAAACTTTGGGTACTTTCAGACACGTGACATTGGCTTAATTACAAATGAACAACAGTTGGCTGTTGATCTCCAGTTACTTGAGTGTCTGCTCAACAACTGCTGCTTTAATATGGTCCTTAAAGGGCTCCCTTCTTTTACAGCAAAAGGCTCCTGCAAAGTATCTAGGCATCACAACAAAGCCGCAAAATCACTACCGCATTACAGAAACCTGCCCACCCAGAGCCACAGTAAGTGTGCCACACAGGTAGCAAGAATTAAAATAATCGGAAACATTTTGCATTATAATTACACCAATCATGATGAAGAGAGTAACACTAGGCAACAGAATATTAAGAAATAAAGCCAGAGATAAATAAGCAACAAAGATACAGGGACAAGTCCTAGCTCCATCCAGTATCCATCTGTGTCCATTTCAGAGGGCAGCTTTACCAGCTCCAGGATTTCCTGATTGTTTACAGAATGGAAACCATGAAAGAAGATGCCCTACAACCAACTGGAGGAGTCAATGAAAGTAGAACTCACGGGCTTGTCTTAGGAAAAAGGATAATATTTTCAGTAATGAAACTCTGATGCAAAAGAAGAGTTTGAAGACAAAAACAACACACCAAAGTATATTTGCAAAGTATATTCAGACAGACTAATGCCTTCAGGGGAATCATATTTACCTTACATTTTCCAGAGAGGAATTTAATTAATTAAATGTTAATGCTATTTATCTATATTCCATCATTTTTCTGGACAGCATCAATTTTATCCTTTTAGAGAAGACTCCAATTTAGACTATTGTTTAGAAAAAATAAGCATCTTTTTTCTAAAAGAAACCAGAAAAAAAGAAACCAGAAAACAAAAACTTTCTTCTTAGCCAAAGCAATACAAGTTAAGCTATGATACATTAATATGCCTTTCCTCTGCAGAGCCGAGTGTTTACTTCAGTGATAGTAACAGCACCTCGTTCCCGACAGGACAGATTCTGGTAAGTAATGGACAAAGCAAACGGCAGCAAAGGCAGAGGACTCAACTTCAATTTAACTGTCCTGTAAGGTACATAGTAATTAGCTGCAAAGCTCTGAAATCTTAGCTAGCATGTTAAGTCTGCTACATGACAGTATAATTTGACTTCTTAAAGGATTATGCAAATTACAACTCATCATTCCATTACAGGATTGAAAAAAAGTGACAGCTAATTTATACATAACACACCTTTCAAATCCCTAAGATGCATAGCACCTGTGCAATGTATTTTGCCGAGATTTTCTTGCATATAAGTACTTGTTTATTGCAATATAAAGAAGCTTACCTAAAAGCGTTAGTATAGTAATTTTTTAAAAACTTTTAGACCACAATTTCAAAAGAATAAACATTTTTTTTCTGTCTTGATTTCAAAGGCAAATTTTTTGGTTGTTCCGGTTTTGTTTGGTTTAGGTTTTTTTTCACCACTAAATTAGAGAAATATAAGGTTTCAAGACAAGGATATTTTTGAATAGCTGGCAACCGCAAGCACTGATGCACGAGCCAGAAGGAAGACTCACAAAGATTTCAACATACTTCTGGTAGGTAGATTCACAGTAGATTCCGTCATATCTGTAGATTTTCCTACATTCTGATTGGTTGGGCAGAGGATGCTGGGCAGTTATT